ACACACACACACACACACACACACGAGTGACCAACGTTGAACGTTCGTTTTACAGATTATATTGGACTCATCAGGTGGTCAAGCTGATTTTTGGCTACGCTCTCTTACGAATATGTTGGTTAACTTTGTCTCTTCTCTTTCGAAATTGTATACGTCAATTCGCGTAGCAAATGCGTACTGTTGACGTGTACGACGGGCGGAAATCGGCAGCTGCGCGGCAATGCACGCGCAACAATACGTCAGATATGCACATACATGTATACCTCTGTTTGTTCGAACTTGGTCGAGGATCGAGCATCGAGCATCGTTTTTTGTCTCAACTTCGTCGTCGCCAGAAAATCTTGCTCCCGTGTTTGTGATCCCGTGAAAGTGCTGAGGCTGCTTTCGACTGAGGCAGCCGACTTGCCTGAGAATAACTCGGAACAACGAAGAAGGAAGAAGAAAAGAGAAAGAAAACACGATGAAAAGAAGAAACATATTACACGATTTGATTCGTTCGACTTTTATTCGATTCAAAAAGTCGTTGTACAACCATTTGGCAATTCCAATCTGACATACGTTTGAAAAACGTTTGCAAGGAAATGACGAAACACGGTCTATTTCCTTTCGTTTCTCTTCCTTTTTTTCTTTCTTTCTTTCTTTCCCTTTTTCCTTATTTCACGGACGTCCTTGTCGAGACGTATCGGGCAAATACCGCCTAATTTTCAATTGTGTTTCAAACGTGTGCAAAACTTGTTGTACTGTTTACGCTTTCATTTGTAATAAAAAACACAGTTTCCTTTTTATGGAAATCATAATTGGTTCGATTTACTTACTCTTGTGACGACGAGATATCACGTACAGATAGCTCGTCGTCACGATAAATCGGCTTTAGTAACAACTGGTCACGCCAGTTTGAATCGCACCAATTGTTTAATGTCGCTCGACGATAAATATATACAATTCTTGCACAGGATTCCCCACAACTCGCGGAATTTTATTTATTTCCAAATAAATCAACGGACGTCTCTTATGGTATACCTAGATAAATAAATAAATAAATAACGTGTAAATATACGATATACGATGTGTGATTATTCGTTCTTCAAACGTAAGAAAATACATCATACGTATGCCCGAATTTGGGATTTTTTCGTCTTTTTTCCAACTTGAATCGCTCGACTAGTTCACTCTCACCGTTCTATCCCTACCGCTATCTTCCGAAATCTTTCCTTCTTAAATTACCCGTTTGTCCACTTTCTTTTTCTTGCATCACCAACTCCTCTTCGGTTGGGTTGCCCCTCTCGAGTCGTCTCGTCGCTCCAAAGGTCATACCGAAAAATTCCAAAGAACGTTGCTGCTAGCGTTAGTTACACAGTTCACATCCATCCCGTGCCTTCTACTCTATCGATTTCATTCTAATATCTCGTGATTTCATA